TGTGTATTGTGCCCAACATCTTTACGTACAATTAGAACTTTCAAAGCAGAAGTTCAAAACATTGGCGAACTTCAACGGTTTAGACGACATTTATATCGTTCATTCACAAAAGTTTCAGAAAATAGTCAAGAAACGTTTACAGTATTGCATGCAACACCACAGCACATTGATAAGGTAGGCATATTTTTTTATGTAAATAGGAATTGAATGGGTAATTTCAAAACCCAACCTACCATAACAAAAGTACCGTTTTTAGGGAAAGTGACTTAGGTCGGCTTGTAGATAAGGCGGGGGTTCGTTTTCATAAGACTGTTTTTTTAATTGAAAAAAATAAAATATAGAAAATTAAGATAGGAGACGAAAAATTAGAATTTCTTCTGATTTTAGATATCTAGGAAGTCAGATAAGTCAGGATGGATGGAGTGGTAGGGATATAAAGCAGAGGATAGCGCAGGGTCGTGTAGCCTTTAAGAAAAACAAGTCACTTCTATGCTTGCGAACGGTTAATTTAGAAATTCGAAAAAGGTTGTTAAAGGTTTATGTTTGGAGCNTTCTAATACCTCTTTATTTTTAACCTTCTCTATCCACGATATCCTCATCATCCGCCTATAACACCACATTTCGAACGCTTCTAACGCTTCTTGTGGGGTTTCACTCTTCAAATTTTAGAGCTGGGTCTCACTTCACCTAAAGCCGGCACTTATTCTAATTTAATGTTACTTAAACATCGATATTATCAAAGGTATTCATTTTCATTGTCTGCCATAGTTTTGGATACGACCTGCGTAAAATGACATCGATTGTCAATATCTTGCAATCAGCTACGAGTCTAGTATGTTTAATATTTTTAGGATATTCCATTAGCAAGGTACGACCCGTATATATTTTTTAAATAGCCAAACACCATTACTATCGAAAAATTTCTAGGAACACAATAACCTAATCGACATGTACAAACTAATAACGTTCACCACATCTATCACTGTCCAGATATTAATTTACACATTAAATGGGGCTGAACTGGAGTTTCAGGTTTGAGTACTTATACATCTCTACTTTGATAAGTATTGCTTTTTATACTTTTTCCGTATGTACAGTAGAAATAATTATTTTAGAGTGAAGCTGTAGCTAAAGCAATTTACGAATCCAAATGGTATTTACTCCAAGGACCCCTGAGAAAGGATTTGGCATTTGCAATTATGAATTCCCAAAAAATGATACGCCTAACTGCTGGCGGTTTGTTTACTATGAATAACCAAGCTTTGATACAGGTAAGACAACAAAAAGATTATATGATGCATAGTTATAAATAATTCACGTAATTCTTTTCAGATATTTAGATTGGCATTTTCATCTATTACACTGCTACCATCATCATAAAATGACGATAATAAAATAGTTCGTTAAATAGAAACGAACTTTCTATTATAATCTTAATTTATTTTTAAGTAGGTTTATATGGTCTTATTTATTTTAGTAAACGCCTTTTTTTTCTAGTACTGAATTTATCACCCTAATACTTGGTATTGACACTATTTATATCACTTGTCCATATATCGACTGTAGTTGTTTTTATATTACAACAACTTATTTATATCTTTGGTATGTATCGATCTACGCTATATTTTGGCTACTTTTCGACCTCCTCATTTTCCCATATGGTCCCCCAAGGTTTTTCCTTCGATCCTCCCCTACAATAACGTGAAATTTTTAACACCTTCAAATAAAATTTTCACAGAACATATTTTAATTTTTATTCAAAATCATCTAAAATAGTAAATGTAGGGACTGGTTCCTATAGAGCAGGGATGGCGAACCAATGGCACGCGTGCCATTAGTGGCACGAGTCACAATGTTTTGGGCACGTCACTAATGTTTCTGTGACTGATTCTTTAATCAAGTAATTTTCAGCAAGACTTTCTCACTTCAGAGAATTATCGGAAATACTAATACGAAAGTTTATTATGTACCCTGATATGACATTTGATAAAATAAATTGAAGAATCTGAAATTCAGCTGATTGATTTCCAGTCTAGTTCAATATGATTCAAAAAGTTGTTGGAACAAGGAAAGAGCTAGAAATAATTGAAACAGAATGATTGACGGGTAATACAAGTGAAAACGATAATAACAAAATTTTGGAAACATGGAATGCGATAACAAACACATTTAATTTTTTGAAAAAGCTGGCATATGATATTTTGATAATGTTTTCATCAACCTATTGCTGCGAGTCATTATTTTCAGAGATTAATAACATCAAAAAGCAGTTACAAACCGTTTGATAGATGACTCCTAATCTGATCTAATCTGCAAAAACAGAAGTCACACTAATTTTACTTTAATTTAAATTACACGTATAATTTAAACATTGCAAAATGTTCCTATTCTCTTGTAGAATTTTGAGTTGATATTATTTATTATCATTTTCCCAATAATCACAGAGACAAAATTATTTGATGGCACGTCTATGACCTGATTAAACTTTTCTTTATAAAAATGGCACGACGGTACTTAAAGGTTCGCCATCCCTGCTATAGAGTATCTACTACAGGAAATACGTCATCTTCAGTCAGACTATTACTCCATTAGTACATCATTTTCTTCGATCCATCAAAATCTTCATTTTTTTGGACAATAAAAGCGATTCCGAATTGCTTTTTACATACCATCTCTTTACAGAGTTACATGGATTATGAGCAGCCCATAAAAAGAAACTTTGGAGCATTTCGGTGACACTGGGCGAACAGCAATAGGGCGGAACGCCCCCTACAGTCTCCTTTTAGGAGTCGTATACTGTCCGAGCATTTACCTAAGTGATTCAAGAAAAATACAGAAAACTTGGACCAGGGCGGATAAATCCAGAATTATACTGGTGTACTCCCGAATGGTAGGCAATGGCCTAAACCTCAATAGGTCATGTCGCTCGGTAACTAGGAGAACAGAACGATTCACATTATTTATACGACTTCATACTTATTTATATGACTTCATAAAATCGACTCACTGACTGTTTATCAGTCACATATTTATATTTTTATGGAAGGTTCTCGAGTTTTACCAGAACACAATTCAATCTTCTCGTAATTCTTTTGTATGGAAGCGCGTGTGTGTGTTTTTGCAACAACAGGTAACGTAAATTGCAATAACTGTGAATTAATAATAGCATTAAATATTTTTGTAATTTCAATGGATAAATAAAATGAGTGTACCTACAATTTCACTTGTTCAGAAAGCTGTACTAACTAACGCTGTTACAAAAAGATGAATGTTAGAATGCAGGTTAAAACCCTTCAAGTGGATTTGCATGTTATATTTATCAGGCTTTTAATGGTGCTTGTGAAGAAAAGTTACTTTCACCGTTCTAAGGATTCGTGAGTGACAAATGGGTGCAATTTAGAACTATCTATGAAACATGCAGTTACGAGGAGGTTAATTAGACAAGAATGTGGACAGATGTTACATAAAAAGGAAAACAGCACAGGAAGCTTGGATATTAAAGCGCGTAAATACCTAGTACAATCATTAAATTCAGAAAACTAAAAGCTCTATGAAAATAACTGGAGAAGTTCAAAACGCTCTAAATAATATCTGATCTAATGCTTTTGGTTAGAAAAAAAGGCACAGCCCGTATAAAACCGTAGACCTACGAGACAATTAACAAATAAAAGATCGGGAACTATGCAAGACAAGGCCAGGAAAATGGTGAGTTATACTAACGATATAACATCATACGGGTGGACAAATATTTCATGGTGGTCAATTCGCAAACCCAAACGAGCTCCAGGCTGGAACAATCTTGAAACATTATAGGAGTTTCGAAACGTTTTGGTCGAAATATGTACATATACGAAACTGTTCTAATTTAGTGTAAGAATCTAGCTCCACTAATGAAATATAATGGTCCTAGAACAATCTCCATTCATTCGGTCCAGTTCCCATTCGGGAACATTCTAACTGAAGACAAAAAACATTCTGACTTATTCTAAATTCGTATTTGGTGGCCGGCGATCGACTAACATTTTGAAACATTATCGGAAAATCAAAACATTTTTGGGACACTTGATCGAAATAAATGAAAGTGTGAGAATTCAGCTCCACTCATCAAACATATTGGTCCTAGAACAATCTCCATGCATCCGGTCCAAATCTGGAAATATTCTAGCATCTAGTACATTCTCACTCTTTCTAAACTCGTGATTGGTGGTCGGTGGTCGACCAACAAACCCACACATCCATCAAACTGGTGAAATCTTGAAACATTATCGGAGATTCAAAACATCTTTAGGGCACTTGGCCGAAATATATGAAACTGTTCTAATTTAGTGTGAGACAAAGAAACACTAATCAAACATAATGGTCCTCGAACGTTCCAGGATTCTTTCGGTCCAATTCGTTCTAATGCATTCTGCCTGAGGACAGTCCTAAACATTCGAGAGCATTCTAACTGAGAGCGAAGCTGGAAATATTCTAGCATCTACCACATTCTCACTTATTCTAAATTGGTATTTGGTGGCCGGTGATCGACCTACCGCTTTCTCCTGATACCAGAGGCATTGTTAGGTGTCGATAACAAAGTCACCATTCTAAAAATGTCAGTAGCTTTTACTCAGAGTCGGCTAGAGTTCTCCAACCAAGAGACTCGTATCCAGGCCAAAAACTTATTTAAAAAATATATGGAATTCTCAAACTAGTTTAGTTTAGCAGTTTTCCTAACGGAGAAAATGAAAACGGAAAGCGGATTCACCGTCGCGACGTTCACGCTCGGTCTATGTACGACGCTGGACATGACTATGGTAAACACTAAACTTTCTGAGAAAGCCTTGTACCTAATAGACCATTAAAGTCTAAGAACCAGGTATAACTACAGCCGCTACGAGTCACCTGTGCAATGCCACCGATTGGTGAACGGCTCCGTCACGTGGCGCACCTCTACCTACCTACCCACCTTTACATTAATTATTTTATTTTTTCTTCACTCGCCATCTCTGCCAGTCATCGGCAGCGTGCCGTTTCCATAGAGAAATCGACGCCTGGACATGTGGCGAAGTTGACAGCGCACCGGAGTTTGAATCCGCCGAGAACCATAGTCGAAGCCGGTTGGATTTTTCCTTTATCATTTTCTCTTATCTCGACGACGCGCATATTTGTTATTAAATTTATTCTTAGACCATTTATTATTGCCAAGCAATAAACATAGCAGTCGATTCAGTCGACAGTATCGCTTGTGCGTGAATGGTCGGTCGATCGGCGAACGTTCCTCGAGGTCCGCGGCGACCGTGAAAGTGAAACAGAAGAAATAATACGGAGTATCCACTGCTCTGGTGGCATTTCGTTGGTGCTTTTTACATATGTATTCGCAACAGTACATGTGTTAGTTTGGATAATTAAGTCAGTGACGTGTGTGTGAGTGTAGTAAGTACGTAGTTTTGCGATGGTACAACTTAACATACGGTTAACATGTACCATAACACGTATCACGCAATAACAAGAGTGCCTGCCGATGGACGTCGGCGAAGAAGTGGAATGCCTTTGGCGTGGATGTGACTAGAGATGAACAGTTATTGGCGCGGTTCGCGAAAGAGAAGACTCGAAGAATGTTCTTAGTAATTTTTCCGCATAGTTCGATGATCGCCGCATTCTTGATCCGTATTTAATAGTATCCTCCGATCTATTTAAAAGCTCTTCGTTGTTGTCGCTGTATGCGGTAGTTGCGCGTATTTTAATGAGTACCCTATTGCATCTTCCTGCTGCCTGCTGCTGCCGAACGTCCAACTCGCGTGTGTGAGCGTTTGTTTGTGTCTGTTGTTGTTTGTTGTTACCGTTGTGTGACCGTGTGAATGACTCTTGCCATGGACGACATTGCATTCAGCGACTGGCCCGGTCAACCTGTGGATTTGTCGGGAACCAACTCCTGGCTGCCCGCCTACGGTTTTCAACCTTCGCACGCGCTCCTCGAGCAGGATTTTATCGGAAATCCAGGTATTATACAGCAAAAATTTATATATGTCTAGGTGCTAGTTGTCTCTAATGTCGTACCAAATACGATAACAGAAACTGCCTTCTGTGAATTTCTTTTCAATCTCCACAATTCTTGTTCATGGATTTATGGATTTTAAAAGATCAACTTTGAATCCATTTATAATCGATTAGTAGAATACCCCAATTCCTTCATAAATTCTATTAAATCCTTTTACATGTTTTGTTCACATAAGATTTACGATCAAGTTCTACTGCCACTTTCTCTGTTCCATCAAACGTTATCGTTTCATTCAAGAATAACTAAATATGTTTTAACATTAACTGAAAAAATTAAAAAGCATTTCCAATTGTTTTATTGGAAAACCTGATTCTCGAATGCAACAGTAACGATATGCTCGGATAACATGCGGGCAGTGATAAGCCTGATTAGATAATTCCTAATAAAAGATCAATTATTATATCGAAGGTAATCGCTGCATAAGTTATGTCATTTAATTATCTCGACATACATGTATAACTACAGATATTGTTTACTTCTAGTAAAATCAATATTAGGTATATAAATACATATTATGTTTAATAAAAGTAAACAGGCGCCAACAACACGACGATAACCATAACAAAACACGTCCTTTACGACATGATACTTTTTAATGGGTCAATAACAATACTACTGAAAACACTAAACATTTGTTGTAAAAACTGATCAACCCTGAATCAAATATTATATCCTTATTACAAGACTACTACCTACCTATCGTCTATTACTACATACTATATTCTTCTATAAGGAGGTTACGTATAGTCGTATTGTGACGATAACATAGACGTTGTCACGTTGTCAGTTGTTTGTAAATAATTCGTTGTAAATTGAAATACACGTGTATAAACAAATGTGTTGATAGTATTCATCTATTATCAAAACGGTTAAACTGTCAGTTTACCTACAAGTAGCGTCCGTGATCGAATTTCGATCTATTGTGTCAATATTGAGAATCGAAGGAGGGCCGCCCGCGTGGAACATCACCAGTCGATATCATCGTTAAATCACCAATTCCTGTAGGGATTCCATGGTCCGTGATGCTTCTAATCATATCAACTGACGCCGTTCTGTTTCCTAACGTTTCCCTAATACGAGGAGCGAGCTTCTTCAGAGGTTCTTCCATTTTCAAAGCTGGGTGCGGACTCTAGGCCACTAAAAAATCCGAATCAGAACAGCACTTACTGGCCGTGAAAAGCTTTACCGATTTGTTCCAATCATGTTTTTGTGTCGTTTCAACATGGAGATAAATGCGCCTTTTAATTGATACTAGTGACCCGCCCCAGCTTCGCACGGGTGCAATGCTGATACTAAATATATTTTTGTTTTGTTTAGATTATTATCGAAAAGGGGAAATCTTCAAGAGATACCCCCTGAACATACTAAATATACTACAGAATGTCTTTATATACAACATTCACAGTGTTTTTGTCATTAGACAATACAAACCGGCCTCCCGGCCGGTACCGCCGCAACCGCTATGTCCCTGCATTTTAAATCTGTAATATCTTCGAAAATATTCATTTAAATTACATGCTGTAAAGGGCCATATTGATTTATATTAAATCCACAATGTATTTGAGGTACTTAATTGGATAAGAATTAATGCTGTATTGCCTACAATCGCTTCGTAAATAAGTCATTATTTCTCATAAAAAGTAAAGGATAAAAATGGTTATTGTGGGTTATCCCTAAGAGATAGACATATACCATCGCGGACTTTTTAGTAGACCTTTTTAAGATGTACAATACTGTAGTACATTATTTTGATCTCGTAGGGTTCAGGCAGCGTTTGCAATGTAAGCGCAAAAAATGTGTTTATTTACGACATTACATTACAAACTTCTAAAATTATCAGTGTTTCCCTACTATATTATGCATGTATTATACATATAAACCTTCCTCTATCTTTTAAAAAAAACCGCATCAAAATCCGTTGCCTAGTTTTAAAGATTTAAGCATACATAGGGACAGACAGCGGGAAAGCGACTTTGTTTTATACTATGTAGTGATATTGCCAAATTATATTCTGCTAAAACTGAAACGTTTTCACGCAAAAATTTCACGAAAATGCACGGATGAGCCGTGTATCCAATCGTTCCGTAATCTTTTTTTAATGAATGTAGAACGCCGGGACCTTTAATTTAATAGGTATTTGTTACATGTAGCTTCGACTTACGGAAATACCAATACATACGTAGACTTTTTGATAATATTCATTCACATCCTGTAAATTCATCGCAAAATATATCTAATCTTTAATCTCTTTGTATCCTTAATTCTTATAAGCCTTGTAGGTAGGCATTTAAAAGTGTCCTTCGTCTAGAAGTATTCGCTTGTAGAAAAATCCTTTCCAGCATAAAGGCAGACGCCAAGACAGTTGTCCTCGACAAAAATAAACTTGAAAGCGACAATAAAAAAGGAGTATAACAGTACGACTCCATTCACAACGCGAATTCCAGTAAAACTAAATTTAAAGTGTTTTATACACTCGATTTATTTATGCTTACAAGGCATATTTACTACGTGTAAACATGAAACAAACACCTTAATAAATTACATGTAAACAAAACTTTCTTCTAACATTCTCAAAGTAAATAGAAATACCTAAAATAGCAAGATTGTCTGTTGAATTTCTAATATATTATGCGTTTCGGGGATAAATTTTTATTTCTATTTCTTTGTGGAAGAAGATTAAGTTAGATTGCGAATATAATGTAGCGCCCACGAGCGTGATTGTGTGCGATCGGGCATACGTGTGTGTGAGCGGCTTATCGATTCGCCGACTAGCCGCGGGCGCTTTTCTTCATGTGCGCCGTATCTGTAAACGTGTGTGTCGTACCTGTGTTTCGGGAAAGCAATTAAACGGTTCGAAGGAAACGAAACTTTTCCGGACGGCTCGAGAATGTTCCCGAAAGGAGGCAAGAGAGTATAAAAAGAAAGAGACGATCGCCGAAGAGGGAGTAGAAATAAATCGACCGTTGCAGATGTGAATCAAGAGATAAACTGACAGTGATAGAAGTGAAATAAATAGAACAGTGAATAGTAACAGTAGTGTAAATAAATAGAATAATTACCGAAGTTTAGTAATAATTTAATAGTGTTTTTAAGTTTAATAGTAATTAGTGTAAATAAATAGTTGTCTTCTTAAAATTTAATTTGTTAAACCCACGAACATTACAATAACTTACTTTTTGTATCAAATCAACTAAAAATTATACTCATCTGCAAATAATGGTGCTAGGTGCAGCTGTGACTGAAAGAAATAGAGTTGAGCGGGCCGGCACGCAGTTTGGATCCGAAGTACCAAACTTTTTTAGGTGCATCAAATTTCAAAGGCAGAATATCTACTTAAATTTATATTCATACGTTATTTGCTAATGAAAGAATGTATTTAGTTCAAATAATTCACACTAAAATCCAATCAGTGTTATTTACCACGGTATTCAACAGAGCTAATGATACCTAGTTATCCCGTAAAACCGTTACGCAGTGCTTCTCTAGAAACGTTGAGATATTTTCTATTTTCTTTCGCTTTTTTTATTAATAGAGCAGGATCCCAGAGCCGCCAGATATTACTCATCTTCTGAGTAACAAAATTGGTGATAGAGTAGTAATAGATAATTTGAATACCTGCTAACTTTGAGCGTGGGTCAATTTGCAGATATCAGGTGCTAAAAATTCGTAAAAACATTTTTCTTAAAGTTTCAGTACCTACTGATTTTTTCACTGGATCGTAATTTTACTTATAGTCTGAGTTTTCATTTTTAAATATAATACTTTGGACACTATTTCAATACTTTTTGTAAGCAGCCAGACCAATTGTAGGGACCAAACATCTTTGGAGCGTTTGGCAGAAATTACCACCGATGGGGGAAGTGTCTGGCAGTGGCGATTATAATTTTTTAACAATATTCTGTCACACATTCTGTAAAAATTAACACTCAGTCTAAGTGAGTAATGTTTTTACGTACTTGTAGCACCTGATATCTGCAAATTGGCCCATGGTCCAAGTGTGCAATGGTACATACTATGACACTTCCTTACTACACCAATTTTTTAACTCAGAAAATAAGTAATGTTTGGCGACTCTGGGATCTTATACTATAAGATTGTATTCATAATTCGTAATAGATCTGGAACACTAGATTTCTCAGAGTTTTTATTTTTCTAAACAGTTATCACTGTCAGTGAAATTGAATGTTCTTCGTTTCTGGCATCTATCAAAACACAATAAAGAACAAAATTCACAATGCAGAGAGTAGGTAGATAGTCAACCATATCATTATAGTCATTACTGTATACAATGAAGCTGTAATAAAAGCGGGTAGAGTTCCCGCAATATCATAAATGTCGATACCTGTAAAAATGATCTACTATAGTTGTGACGAAAGTCGATCAATACGTGGATCAGTTATTAATCTCATAGTTGAAAAACTTAATTCCTGTATGTCTAAAACCCTCACGATCAATGAAAACCATTCATCCATCTTCCATTAGTGCCCAAAGTAATTATTGTTATATTGACCCGATTTTCTCATATTTTATACCTACACCTATTAGACCTACTGTATGTACGATATCATTACCGTTCAATAACGTTAATAACAATAACAGTAACAAAAAGTCTAACTATTATTGCAAATATAATTCCAAACTTGACGTTCACGATACTGTACCAAACTCATTACGAACTCGTTTAATCGTCCACATAGCAACCAACACTTTCGAAATGATACCTATTATGCACGTATGTTTGGTAGGTATTTTCTATACACGCTCTTGTCTGGGTTGGTATTCGCACTTGTGTATGAATAATGAGCATACATGTGTACACATCACATGAATGTATGTATTCTGCAAAGAAATCAACTTTCTCCAATAAAGATCTTGTCGAATATATACGGATGCTGAACAAAGGGATTGTGTATAACTGCAGCGATATGCTATAAAACTAAAA